CATCTTGGCTGGCAGTTAATTTGCATATCTCCCTGATTAGCCAATGGGAAGGGTAGTGGTCGTATGCCAATTACCATGTTTCTCTTTTATTAGATAGGATAGCTAAAACATCTTTTAAAATCATGCCTACTATAGAAAAACACAATTTGGAAGAAAAGAAAACTAGGGACTGAAAATTAATGAAAAGGACAATGTATAAAATGGTCTTCTCTAGCAATTAGAGGTGAGTAGAAGGAATTAACTACTCTTCACCCCCTTCTCATCCCATGCCTTAGCGCAGGTCCTCAGTCTTTTGATGAGAGGTCACATCCTACAGTTGGGTTGATTTCTGGTGCCATTGCTAGTTCTAAGTTGGAATCTGGTTCTACTGCCTATTATGAATGGGACTTTCAGTGATAATCTCCTTAACCTTGCCAGGCCTTAGTTTCCCAATCAGTCAAGCAGGAATACCAATTCCTAGGGGTTATTTGGGCTTATATTATACAAAGTACCTAGTAGTACAGTAGTGTCTAAAACATAAGCTCTTGGCAACTATTTGTTCCCTTCATTAGTTCTTTTAAAAAAATTACTAATTCAATGTTATTTCCATTTTAACCACTAGTACATTATCCTTGGCTTCAGGGAAATTTCCCACAAATTCTGAGTGTTCCTGAGATACAAGCCCATGAATACATTTGAGGCCAAGTTATTCAGAGACAGTTTATCCACAGAGTGACTTATTAAGACAGTTTCAAATAAGATCTGATAAACTAAGTGTCTATTAGAGGTTCAAAAATATTAGAGTGGATGATAGCTATGAAAACCAATACTAATTTTTTCAAAATCAGTAAACAAAAATAAAATGCCACTATGTATTCACCTACATATTAGCAGTTTATAGGTCTGTGAATATGCTATCGTCTGCCAACGTGGAAACTGTTATGCTCACCCACCATGGATTAAGTCTAAAGTCTTCACATTCTTTACCTTAATTACCTTCATTAGTTCTTTAATCTCCTGACGCTTATCTATTTACGGTATACCTTGAAGGATGGTGTGCATATCTAAGCATTAATCTTTATAATAAGCATAGATTTATAATAAAAATCATCCATTCTGTGCTGAGTGTATGCTTAGTGCTGGAAAATAGGAATAATAGCAAAAGAAAAAAAATTAGTCTTTGTCTTGAAAAAGCTTTTCTGTAATTGAATTGCAGACATTTACAATTTATAAGGACACTGTCCAGAGATTTTACAAACATATAAAAAATAACACCTATAATGCTACACTGCGCTAAAAATAAAAACCTTATTGAACATTTAGTGCAATGCAATGTAATTTTCTTTAAGCATCTTGGGTACAGGTATATTTTAATACTGACATATTTCTAGTCGAAATAGTAAATTTAAACTATTTAGCAATCAGCTACAGTGCCCTTGCTCTACAGGATGACAAATTACTAGTTGGTGGGTACATGACATATATTTAAACTCATAGATCGCACATCTTTATGTAATAAGATTTTTCTGTACACAAATATCCCCTATTAGGGATCTCCTTATGTATAAAACTGCTTGAAATTGAGCTTCCTTCCCACCTTCCTTCTTTCCTCTGTCTTCCTCCTCCTTCCCCTTTCTTCTCCTTTTGTATCCTCATTCTTTTTTTCTTTCATTTTGATTGAGAACTCTATGAAGCAAGATTCCACTTATATTGGAAATAAGGACCAAAAATTTTGTGTGGCTGGTTAAAACAAGGTGTTTTTCATTAATCATCAGAAACTACAGAAAAAATAAAGACATCATTTCACCCATTAAACTGTTCTATAGTATAAACAAAAGGCATATTCCACAGAATAAGTATGCAGTTTTTCTAAGATTCAAATTCTGACCAAAATTTTGTTTTAATTCCTTGCTAGTTTATTTTTATAAGTAATACATTAAAAATTTTATATAATATTAGACATGTAAGTTTACCTTAATTTTTACTCATTTAACTAACACAAACCTCTTTATTTATGTTGTATTATTTGGTGTATGTTTAAAAATACAGATTCTGAGTAATTAACAATAAAATATGTGGCCTAAATCTATACCTAGCACCGATATTAGCACTCATTTTCAGTGATTTGACAAAACGATGAGGCCAGAAAGGTTGCCTTAGAAGCTTGGTTCATCTTTTGCGTCTAACTACTGCACATTGAAAACACTCCCATAATTGTCCTTCTGAAAAGAAAGTGAACCTGAGGAAAGACTATGTTTTCAGTCCTGTGTGACTATTGACCACTTAGATAGAAAGGGTCAGCCTCTACTTCTTTCAACACTCGAAATTCAGGTCACAGAGCTTCCAAGAGGACCATTCTGAGAGGAGATTTTAAGTACAATCCATGGATACAGTGGAACCTTTATGCATCATGCTATCAGTAGCAACTGCCAGTCAGGTGGAAATGTTAGCCAAGATTTTTTCTGTATTTTACAGAGTTGGATGGACGAGGAGCAAAAGCCCTCCTGTCAAACACAATAGTTTTAAAAGTACAAAAGTTGAGTAAACCTATAATAAGCCAGTTATTTCTGGATGTGAAACAGAACACTGTTCATAAATGCCCAATGCAGTAGACATCCGGGGCAAAGCAGGACAGGAAACCGGCCTAAACATGGGCTACAGCAAAAGGCCACATTCTTCTAAGATACCTTCCCAAAGTGTCAGAAATACATGCCAAAGTAGCTGGCTAGCTCAGTTTCTCTTTCCAGTCAACAACCTTAATTATTTTCTATCAAAGTGATGCATGCTTTGGGCAGGTTTGTCTGTACCCAGCTGGCCTACAGTGCACACCTAATTGTGCGTGACAAGGAGAGCCCACAGTTATTGCTTAGCAGCATATCCTCTCACCAGAAGGTACACAAATAATATCGAGTAAAAGCAATTGTTCCTACTCTTTCTAGCAATATTTGCCACCGCCTGTCAATCAAGTAGCTGGGATGTGGAGGGGAGCAAGTAGAGTAGTGCCCATAGGAACTTCTATCCCAGACTGTAAATCTAATTCTTATTTAGGTGTGGACCATTCTTTGGGCTTTTCCAAAACAGCCTTAAAAGTAACAGGCACTCATTGCATTTGTGTGTGTGTGTGTGTGTGTGTGTGTGTGTGTGTGTGTGTGTGGTTTTGAGTAGCAAAGTACTAGGTGAACACTTGTCTTTAGGGATCAGATTTTTATCTGTTAAGATTTCATCCAAATATAGTATCCATGGCCTAAAAATAACCAAACCAGGGCTAATGCTTCAATCTTACAAACTTCTAAATTACTTCATGTATCTTTCTTCTAGGATGCTGTCCCCTGTTTAGCCTTTAAGGTACAAATCTTCTGGAAGCTTTTCCTAAGTCCCAGTAGGATGTAGCAGACTGTACTCCTATAATCTTTTGCACATGCCTTTATCACAGCAGATAGTATACTCAGTTCCAAGGTGGAGTTTGCTTTCAGTCTAACCAATGGACCATGAGTTTCTTCAAAGCTCTGTTGCAAGCAGTAATAGGCACTTAATAAACAATTATTAGATCAGTGAATGAATGAATAAAATGTGCATAGTCAATTTGGTGGAAGTACTGAATTCTTAAAGGTGTTGGTAAGAGATAAAGAAAAAAAAAAAACAGATTGAGCTCAGATATTCATATTTCAAAATACTCTTTAAGAGTCCCTGTGAAGAACATTAAGCTATTTAGGATAACTGATCTTGAGATACAGTGACAGTCATAGTTGCTTGAAAGAATCAGCTGAATATGCAATTTGGACAATAATTTTATATTAGAAACATCTGTATTTGCTTATATCACTACTAGAGGCCTGGCCTGTGTCCTCTCTCAGTCCAGGACCCCTCGAGAGATGTCTGCCTGCTGGCTTAGGCCTGCTCTCCACAGGGAGCGGGCCTAAGCCAGCAGTAGGACATCCCTCTCGCAGTATGGGACCCCTCACTCCTTACGGCCCGCCTGCATGCTGCTCCTTAGCGCTGCCATAGAGGCGGGAAAGGCTCCCACCACCGCCGCTGCGCTCGCCAGCCATGAGCCCATTTTTTGGCTGAGCAGCGCTTCCCCTGTGGGAGCGTACTGACAACTAGGAGGCAGTTCCTGCATTGAGCATCTGCCCCCTGGTGGTCAGTGCGCATCATAGCGACCAGTCATTCTGGTTGTTCCACTGTAACAGTTACTTAAGCTTTTGTTATATAGATTCTGGATTATTCTATTCCTCTCTTTTTTGGTGTCCTCACCTGAGACATAGAATTATATCACTTACCCATCATCTATAATGTTTATTATAAAAATATGTAAAATAGATACACTTTGTGATCCTTAGATGTTAAAAGGAAATTGTAGATATTTTTGAAGTAGGCTTTCCCAATTCTTACACACAACCTGGTTGACTCTTTGGCATTTTTGGACAATATAAACACTTGCAGGCTTCAAAGGCTAGTTATGATACAGATGTATGAATTGTCAGCAAAGTTTTTTTGTAAAGGTCAAGAGAGCAGACATTTTTTGGGCTTTGCATTATCTCCTCTCTGTCCCAAGTGCTCAATTCTGCTACCGCAGTGCAAAAATGACATGTCGTCTGTAAGCGCATGAATGTGGCTGTCCCCCAATAAAATTTTATTTTTGAAAAGAGACATCTGAGCAGGATATAGTTTATAGGCACTACATTGTTACTCTTGACAACTGTTACTCAGGCCAAGGGTGAGACTAAATTAATAAAGATTCTTAACCTTCCCAGACATTAGCTTTGGTGCCAAGAAAACATCTCATTTTTATAAACCCTGTTTGCTATACAAAGAACCTGATCATTCCCATTCCTTTTTATTTTAAATCATTTCTCAATGTAGGATAATCTTACATGATGCTGTATCACACCAAAGAAGTATTATCATAAATTAAATCTGTTTTTTTTTTGTTTCTAAAAAACAATAATTAGTTCAAAGTAATTTGCATTTTCAGTTAGGGTCCTGGGACTAGAACATCATGCTTTGCTGAGAACACTTACTGTATACTTGTAACTGTCCACGAAAGGAATTTTTTCCACGCGAGTTTTCAGCTCTGCACTCATATACGCCTGCATCATCCAGCTGCACATTGGGTATTTCCAGCACTGCCTGAGACTTCCGCAGCCGTGCCTTGCTAGGGATATAGCCATTAACCTTCATCCATGTAATTGTTGGAACTGGGCTGAGATAAGGAGCAAAACTATCGTTAATATACTTTCACTATTAGGAACATAGATTCTGTTATCTGGTAATTTAAGCACTTAATAGGCTGAGTGCAATAAAGTGTAATCACAATTAAGGACCGTGTGCTGGTTGACATATTTCACTTTCCATGCGGATTGTCTGATAAGTAAATAGTTAGATGCCAAGGGAGACAGTTCCCTTTCTTTCATATTTCAGGAAGGCAATTCATAGACAATACACATACATGTTAATACATTATACTTTATTTTTAAAAACCTTTGTAAAATTATTTAAAAGTAATTCAGTGAAATTACAACATAACAAATACTTATAGCAAGGGATTGAACAAGATTTTGAACTAAGTGAATTAAGAATCTTTTTTGGCCTCCACTCCTGAAAATATCTTCCTTCTGCAGCGACAAATACAGTTTGCATGTAATCTCTCATCTGCTCTGTGTGATGAACATACTTACACATATGATGATATTTTTGTTTTGTCTAAACATGTAACTCATATGCTGGATGTTTATTATTTTTATTAAAAGATCAAATCCAAGATCAACTCAGGACTTACTCTGGTTAATAGCTGCATATTATTCCACTGTATTGATGTATCAGAACTTAATCAGCCATTCCCTATAGTTAAACATTCAGCATAGTCCCAGTTTTGATTTGTTTCCTTTCCTTGCCACTAAGAAACAATATTACTACAAACAACATTGCACATATATCATGGACTATTGCTTTTACTTTCTGCAGCAGACATTCACAAAAGTGGAATTGATGGATCAAAGGGCATGTACATTCTTCATTTTAATCAGTACTGCCAGATTGTTTTTCAATAATATAGTGGCAGTCTCCACACCTATCCGTAATATATGAGACTGTTTCCCCATATCCTTGCCACCATTTTGTGTGATTAACTGTTTAATTTTTGTCAGTATTGAAAGGTAAAAAATGGCATTTGATACTTTAATTAATATTTCTCTGAACTCTAGGAAGGTTGAACAACTCTTTGTAATTTATTGGCCATTTGCATGTGCTTTTCTGAGATGTTTGCTTATGTTACTTTTCTAATTTTTCTTTCATTTTTCTGTTCCGTTTGTATTGTTTAAATTAATTTCTTCAAGTATTTTGAGTATTAGAATAATGAAGATTTTGTTTCTCAGAAAAATTCTGTGATATAATTCTATGAACATTTTTTAGGAGAAACAAACATCTGTAGTTTTCTTCATGACTTCTGAATTTTTGTTTTTTTAAATGAAATTATCTACCAACCCAAGTTTATGTCCATATTTTCTTCAGTATTCCTAGTAATATTTTCAATTATTTTTATACAGTTGGATCTTTGATCCATCTGGACAATATTCATGTTTGGGGTGTGAGACAGGGAATGCAACTATTTATTTTAGTATTGTTAACACTCCCTTCCCCACAATATTTGGGATGTTGTGTTTGTCATATAATTGGTTCTCACATCCTTGACTCTGTTTCAGGCTTTTCAGTTCTGTTCTGCTGATTTATTTATTACTATCTATATTTAATGACCTTTCTGGTCTGGACCTACTCTACTTTTCAGTTTGATTTCTCACTACTTCCTTCCACATTTCCTGACCCAGAAACACATCTCTATGTGTTTCCAATCATATCCGTTAAAATCCTACTGGTCCTTTGGGACCCGTCCTAAATGCCTCCTCTTCAGCAGTCTTTCCTTATTTGTGCAGTCTGCTGGGATTTTTTTTTTTTTTTGCTTTGTTTATACTGCTTGCATCTCTTGTAACAGTCTACCATAAATTATATACTAAGGATAGGATATTTTTCCACAAATTTTCTTTACAGGGACAATAGGAATGTTCACTGTTATAAACAATGCTATGATAAAGACCATGTGTGTTTCTGAACATCGTTCTGACTTATTCCTTAGGAATAAAACAGAAGTGAAATTGCTGGGTTTGGGTTGATAGTTTTTGCTTGTTTGTTTAGGTGCATACTGTATTGGCAACATCCAGGAAGACTGAACCTTGCATTTTTGGAATATTGCTTAAGTTGGCATGGCATATCATTCTTTTAATATATATGAAAAATGATTTATGAATTTTCAAAATTGATTTTTAGAGATAGAGGGAAAGAGAGAGAGAGAAAAAAAACATTGATATGACAGCCTCCTGCATGCCCCCCACTGGGGATCAAGCCCATAACCTGAGCATGTGGGGGGCCTGGAATAGAACCAGCAACCTTTCAGTGTAGGGGACCATACCCAACCACCTGAGTCACACCAGCCAGGGCATTATTTTTTAACCTAGGAATTTTGTGTCACTATTCAAAGGTGAGATTGTATGTAGTTTATTAAGTTTGTTGGTGTGTGAGTGTGTGAGTGTGTGAGTGAGAGAGAGAGAGTGTGTGTGTGTGTGTGTGTGTGTGTGTGTGTGTGTGTGTGTTAGTGAGCTGGTGGTTTGTTCACAGGCTAGCTTTGACAAATTATGTCTCACAGTGATGGATGATAGCTTGGGAAACATGCTAGAATACTTCCATCTCTTATTTTGATAGCTTAAATAGTAGAGAAATTATACATTCTTTAGAATACTGATAAGACTCTCACAAAAAGTCATCTGGGTCTGCTACCATCAATAAAGTTAGGGTGTTTTTTTTTTTTTTTTTTTTTGCTTGTTTGTTTACAAGTGTTTTCAATTTCTTCTTTTTACTTTAATTATGTTGTGTTCAAATATCTGCTGCGTCAATGTTGGCAATTAATATTTTCCTAGAAAATCAACTATTTCATCTATGATTTCTGTGTTTTATAAATAGTAACTGTTTAAATCTATTTCCTTCTTATTTTATTTTCTATTTTTAGCAATCCATGATGCCTAGGAGCACTGGCCTTCAATGATACAACTAAGGTTTAAGTACAATTTGGACACAAAGACGCTGTGTAACGCTGGGAATGTTATCCAAGTTCTATAAACTTTTTTTAGCGGATATATTTTAGAAATTAAAAAGAGCAAATATGTTATTGTATATTTACATACATTTGCTTAAAAAAATCCTGCTCTTTATTTCTTTTTGAAAATTGGAGTTTTCAAATAGTGTTAGCTTTCTTTCAGCCTACATAAGTTTTTATTCACAGAATAGGCTTCTTTTCTATGAAAGTATAATTGGTATACAATATTATATTAGTTTCAGGTATACAACAGAGTGATTCAATATTTATACACTGAGAGGCCAGATTATTATGACCACCCCATCAGTACAATGAAGTGAATTAGTTATGAAAATAATACTAATAATAAAACTTTGAGAGTATTTGCTTAGGAAGTTTTCAATATTCAGTATTTTTGGAAGCGTGAATGAAGTATTGATGGGGTGGTCATAATAATCTGGCCATTCAGTGTATATCTTACTATGTGCTTCCCACACTAAGTGTAGTAATCATCTATCACTGTGCAAAGTTATCACATGTAATTGAATATATTCTTCTTCACCTTTTCAATCATCCCTCAATGTCCCTCCCCTCTGGCAACCATCAGTTTGTTGTTTTTATGAAAATGTTTTTGTTTTGCTTATTTGCATTAATTTTTATATTCAGCATATAAGTGAAATCATGTTGTATTTATCTTTCTCTGTCTAGTGTATTTCATTTAGCATAATTCCCTTTAGGTTCATCCATATCAAAAATGGCAAGATTTTGTTCTTTTTTATTGCTGAGTAATATTCCATTAAATATACATATAGACCACATCGTCTTTATCCATTTCTCTATGTATGGACACCTAGGTTGCTTCCATATCTTGGCTATTGTAAATAATGCAGCAAAACATAGGGGTGCAAATATCTTTAAAATTACTGTTTTTATTTTATTCGGATAAATACCCAAAAGTAGAATTGTGGGGTTAAATAGTAGATCTATTTTTGGTTTTTGGAGAACTCGATACTGTTAACATTTCTTATAGTGCTGTCTACTAGAAGAAATAATTCAGGTTTTGTTTTTTTTTTGACAATATCTTTATTTTGCTTTCATGTTTGGAGAATATTTTCACTGGATTAAAACCTCTAGGCAGACTACTCTTTAAATATTTTCTTCTTTTTATCATTGTTTTTCAGCAATTAGATTATTATGTACCTTGATGCATTTTACTTTTGTTTATCCTGCTTATGTTTCATTAAGCTTGGAAATCTATGGCATTATATTTTTCAATAATGTGATAACTTGGGGGCTTAATCTTCAGGGCTGTTGTTTTGTGTTTTGTTTTGTTTTTGCCTACCTTTATCTTCTAGGACTAAACCTTTATCTATGATACTTTATTCGTTATTTATTTATTTGTGAGCATGTGGATATTTGTGGGGTTTTTTTATTTTTATTTTTTCCCATCACCATTTGTCCCCTCTATGCCCTCTTCCACTTCCAGTCTCCCCCTCACTCCCCTGTAATCACTACACTGTTGTCTGTGTCCATGAGTTCTCTCTCTCTTTCTTTTTCTTTTTCTGCTTAATCTTCCCCCCCCCTCCATCACCCCCTCCCCCACCAGAGATGTCTGTCTGCTCTCTATAAGTCTGTTTCTATTTTGCTTGGTAGTTCAATTTGTTCATTTAATTCTACATATGAGTAAAATATACTTATCTTTTACTTCTCATTTTTTAGCAGTTTTTATTAGAGGCTATATATTGCCCAGTGCCTGAATTTCACCTTTATTTTTAAACTAGAGGTCCAGTGCTTCAAAATTCATGCACTTGGGAGGGGGGGGGGCCCTCAGCCCAGCCTGCACCCTCTTGCAGTCCAGGAGCCCTCAGGGGATGCCCAACTGATGGCTTAGGCCCGCTCTCTAGTGTGCCTAAGCCACAGTCTGGCCTCCCTCTGCAGGAGGCAACCAGTGGGCCGATTAGGGGATGGTGCTGGCAGCGATGGTTGGTCCTACCCCACGATTGCCCCTCTACCACCAGGGGTTGTTGCCGCTGCCGCCCCCCCCCCCCCAATCGCTGTCCCATCCTTCTGCCCACTGGCAT